TGGGAATCTTGACCTTGGCCGCTTCCAGAGTGTCGAAATGTTTGGATATCTTTGCGAAGGCTGGAGCAGGGTGCTGATCCGCCGGAATCTTCGTTGATAAGGCCCCCCGCAGCTCATTGTAAATGGCGCCGAGGGACATAGATGAATAGAGGGAAGACAATTGGTCCCAAGTTTCCTTGGCCGATTTTTTGTCCTTTATGTAGGAGGCGACGGCGGGAGAGCAGCGCAGACGGATCGTACCCATAGCCCTGACATCTTTTTCCTTCCAGGCGTCAGCAGTGGTTGAGTCCCTGGTGGTACCGGAGACGACGACAGCTGGCTGCGTGATGCTGCCATCAACATTTCCCCAGCGGCCTTGGGACATAAGGTACGCGATCATTTGCTCGGAACAGGTAGGCCAGTTCGAGCCGTCGAGGACGGGGACAACAGCGATCAGATTGTTCGACATTGTTTTGGAGCGATTGAGAGATCTGAAATCTGTATCGAGATCTCATCAGTATCAGCGAAGCTATGCAGCCTGATAAGGGCGCACTGCTCCATGCTGTTGGCTTAGGGACTGGCACAGTCGCGGGAATCCCGGAACCCATCTGAGCGGGACCTCTTCTGCAGAAAAAGGCTTCCGCGGAAGTTTATTTCCACGTCATCCGCGGGAGTGGCTGTTACTCAATGCTGGCTTCTCATTGGCTGGGAGATGTCCGCGCCTGTCACCTCTCGATGTACTCGAGTATGTATCGCCAAGTACGGTTTCCGTGGGAGTTTCAAACTCCGCTTTCCGCGGAAATCCTTTCCGTGGAATTACCACAGGCAGTCCCCGGAAGGGCCCGTGCCAGTCCCTATGTTGGCTCCATTAGAGAGTTACCCCAGGATTGATCATCAAGCCTGATGGCTGCTGATAACAGCGCCTACGGCGATGATCATGCATCAAGCCACACCGCAGCCTGTGAGGGCGCATAGGGCGATGCACAGGTGAGCGAGGCGCAACACGCTGCAGCGAGTTACCGCGCAGACGCAAGCTGCCTATTTGGGCTCATAACCTGATGAAGAGTTATGGAGGCAGCAGCACGCACAGTGCGCCCTACACAACTCACCTGTATTGGTTGGATGCTGTAGCTACTGGTAAAGCTCGTATGAACGACCCTTGTCATTAGGCAGCAGAGCTGCAGGGTTTATATACACAGTGGCCCATAGGCTGACTAAGCTACGTGGAATATCTATAATCCTACTGAGCTCCACCTATGATGTCACTGACCCACATGAGCTCCGTGCCCTTGTACAATAATGGAATATACCAGAATGTTCCAGATGGTTCCGGTACGTTCTGGTACGTTGTAGAACCTGGCAGCTAAGTCAGTGCCTAGTTCAACACGGTAGGGTATTGAAGCTATTATCAACGAGAGAGGTCCCTAAAACACACGCATGTAGGGAGAAATACCTATCAAATACAGTTGTATTTCCTTACATCAACTCACTACATTGTGTAGGACATCCATCACATCGCGACTCCATCAGCACCCTCGTGCGCTGTGGCATTTCCCAGGGGGCATCAGCTGGAGAATTCCGTGAACCCGACTACCTCGACCGCCTCTGATCGGCGGTCATGGGGTCCTGCTTGCATAATCACCTCTCATTGGTCAGGAGAGTGCTCTCGCGGTGATGGCGATTGCACGGCGACCTTGGATTAGATAAACCTGACAGTTCAATAAATTACAGGCTGTTTTCATTGCTCCTAGAACACAGAAAAAAGAATACAGACAGTGATGAATGATTCAGTGCTGTACTTTCTTTGGTTCTCGGACATCTGTTGTAATAGAGTGTGTACTGCTCCTCTGTAAACTCTCAACTATCTCTTCACATGCAACCGTATCTGATATCTCATGCTCTTCCTGCCAGCTTTGGGTCCTCTCGTGGGTGATGTCCATGCGTGGCTCCTTCACCGATGACACAAACATCTCAAGCAGTTAACCAGCAATGCAGGAAGGATCTCCAATGCTCTCTCACGCTGCCAATGTCTCATTTCCACAGCGGCGTGATCTAATCTACGGTCGGTGAAATATCGCGGTTGCCGCGAGATTGCTGTTCTGACCAATGATGGGGCGATTACATGAGCAGGACCCCATGACCGCCGATCAGAGGCGGTCGAGCGCTTTTGCTACTTCGCCCTCCGATAAACACGACCAAACACGCCCATATCAGGCAGGTGAATCACGTGAGCCGGGCCTCCGGTGTCGACTACCAAATTGAGAAGCATCGTTTACACTAATGTAAATCTGCCTTGCTGTGCAGTACATAATTACTATATAACGCTGCATCTGTATTCCCTCGTAGTCTAATGGTTAAAGCGTTAGTGATTTGTGTTGTGGACGAGAGTTCAAGGCGTGGTAGTGCATTTTTTATTTATGTATCTTTTTCTGTCTAACATTGTCGAGAGTCCATCAGACTACGCTCATTTCTCTTAGATGTAGAA